GCACTCAAAAAATGTAATACAATTCAAAAAATCAACATGCAAACATCAACCAAGTAAATGTAATTGAGAAAAAAAAACACTAACCATGAATGAGGAGTCGCAAAGAGAGATTTGATTCCAGTGAGAGAGAATCGCCGGTGAGGGAGAACGCCGGTGAGGGAGAATCGCCGGTGAGGAGGGAGAACGCCGGTGAGAGAGAATTGAACTTAGGGTTTTTAGGAGAGAGAACTGTTTGATAAATTTCTGGTGAACGTTGAGAGTGAAAATGAACTGTTTGATTTGTTTCTTGATTATACCCAAAAAAAAAACTCTTTTTTTTTTAAAAAAAAAACCGAGTTTTCGGTCTGGACCGGGAAATTCCGGGTTAAACCCGGATAGGAACGAAAACCGAAATAGACCTTTTTTAAGGACCGGGACCAGATCTGAAGGTTCCGATCCGGTTTCTGGTCCGGTTAATTTATGTACACCCCTAGTTGTTGGAATCAATTTTGCTTTTCCTGCTGAAGTTCCCGTGCTGCAATAATCTCAATTTAGAAAATTATAATTTTTTTTTGGTGTAAATAGAAAGTGATAAATATCCGTTAGGTCATAGGAATTAACAATGGAAATATCAAGCACAATCAGGTACTGCTCCAATCAATCCTCGATTATTATGTCCATATTCAATTCCTAAATTAATGCAATACTAGTCCCTCCATATATTTTTAAGTGTTTAGGAAGGCATGTTGAATAGAGTAAAATGTTTATGATGATGGAGATTTTTAATATAGATGACGAGTTAATATTTTATTAATAAGTAAGGAATGTGAATATGTGATAGAAGTGTAATATAAATGTAGGAGTTAACAGATCTTGTGGTGGTATAAAATTCAGAGCTAGGAGATTATGTATAAATCATAAAAGGCTAAACGTCTAACATAAAACAACTTATACTCCATAATTTAAAAATGCGTAGCTTGTAACATGTTAAAGGTACAAACTAAATAGTATAGAAGTGTCATTAATAATTTTAAACAAAAAATTGATTCCATCCAAGACCTTGTCTAAGGGTTTTGAACTAGATTGGGCTGAAAATTAGTTCTTTTTAATTTTTCGATGATCTAGTCTATTTGATCCAGTCTTGTTCCTAACTGGTTTTTGAATATCCCTAGTGAACTGTGATTTTTTGCACCGTTAAGAAATACGAAGTAAATAAATAAAGTGACATAAGTATAAAAATTAAAAACAACGAATGATGAAAATTACCTAATGAAAAATTCAGTAATTGGTTGTGCACAAAGAATTGGTGAGGAATCCCCATTAGCAATACGTTGGATATCCGGCTGAATATCCTCGTATGTCACCACCAGAACCTTGCTCTTAAATGTCTCAAAATCAACACACCCCTTCATCCCATGTCGTTTTAAGTACTCGGTGTCGGCGTTTTGGCTCAAAATCCCAGCCAAAACCTCCCTTTGTTGCTCCTTACACTTGCTCGTCACCTCCTCTATGAATTGCAACATTAGAACCGCAACGTCTTTCTTTCTACTCGCCATTGTCGTCTATTGTAATTGAAATAGTGTTGTAAGAGAGTGCAATAATATTGCAGGCAGCTTGTGGTAGTAGCTTAATATAGGAGCTCTTGTTTGCATTGGAGTGATAATAGATTAATAGTTAATGGCAAAAGAACGGCATGTGCACGTTAGAAGTTACGTAGATAATGCTCCACTTATGTATAAACAACAACGCGTTTATATGATTAATGGTTACTGATTAACCTTAATTGACTTAGGGTCTATTCTCTTCAGCTTAATTTCAGTTCAGTTTAATTTATTTTATTTTAGCTCCTAATATCTTTCTCTCACAAATAATTCAATTCAGCTCATTTCAGTTCAATTTAGTTCAGTTCAGTTTAGTTTAGCTCCAATCAGTTCAGTTCAGATCAGCTTTGTTCAGGAAATCAAAACAGGCCCTTAATATGTTGTATTTCAATGCAATGTGGTTTATTATTGAAATTCTAGTGACTTCTTTCTAGTTATTCGAATATTTTGTTATGGGCTTTTACGTGGTTATTAAGCTTTGATTCTTTGGCTTAGGTAAATTGAAGATGTATTATTAGAGAGTAGGTAAATATTTTGAAAAATACGAATACTTCTTGACTTTAAAAGTATTTAATTAAATAGTTTGGTACTTTGTATGAATGTCTAATGGGTCCATCCTAAAAATTTTGGGCCTTATTATTCTTCAAAAATTTAGGATCTTATGTTAATCACCTTTATGTAAAATAGTGTAATTCTCCTAAATTGAAGTATTCTCATTAACTGAATATATATAGGTGTGTACAAAACCTAATAGGAGAGGATACAATAATTACTAAATTACACTAGAGTATATCTATAAAGAATATATAAGGAGAATGTTCACATATTCTCTAACAGTCCCCCACAATTATTGACCTGAACCTGCACCAGACCCGATAGTAACCGTCAACTAATTTAATCGAACCCGACAACAATCTGAATCCGAACTAGTACTCGACCATATTAGAACCTGAAAATGTTTATAACCCAACACAACTTGTTATTGAAGCGAGTCATGGACGGTTTTACAAAAAAAATTATATACCTTTTGTTCAACTTATATATTGGTATAATTTGTTCAGCTTGTATACATTTTGTTCTCTCTTAATTTGGATATAGGTTTAATAAAATCTTCATAATGTTTGAACAAATTATGCAGGGCGTAATTATATGAATTCGGCTTGACCACATCGAATTTATTAGAATTGAACTTGAACCAAAACCAAGAATGATCCAACTATAAGATTATCCGACCAAATAATTTTCTGACCCAACCTTAACCCGAACCCGAATATACCATCTATTAACCTGACCAAACCCGACTCAATACAACCCGAATCTGAAATTGAACCCGTTATGAATTTGACTCAAATCGGACTTGGCCTACACCCGAAAGGGTGAACGACCCGGAATAGCCTGAACCGAAATTGACCCGACCCAAATCTGAAGCTGATCTGAGGCTAGATTGACCCAACAAAACCTGATCCTAATTTGACCCGAAACCTAATTTGACCCGACCTGAACCCAACTTGAACACCTGAATTGATAGCTCTAGATACAAATGGCCTTATCTAACAAGAGACAATTTATACATTTGGCTTAAATGAGCAAATTTTGTTATGGTTAGAAACATAAAAAGTTTATATTTGCTAATCTCTAATTAAATGGTTAAAATTTATGTTTGTTTGGAAAGTGAAAAGCTTTATTTTGGTTGAATCTTTTGGAATTATTAGGGTTGTTAGTTGATTTATATTGAAGTATTAATTATTCTATGCAAGTCTGTAGTTTAAATATAAAGTAAAAAGATGGGGAGTTTTTTTTTTTGGTTAAAAGGCTTTCATTTAGTCATTCAACTTAGCATCATAAGGATTACAGGAGTTTTCAGGGGCTATCCTTTGACAAAATAATTAGTACAAGTTAGACAGGGGATTAGCAGTTTCATGTACAAAACACTTGAGAAATATGCTGCAATCAACTAAAAAAGAAATTCCCTAGATTGGACAGAAGCTCTTCCCGACTATATTTCGGGACTATCCTACAAAAATCAAATGAAATCACCAGCTTTTGTCTAGCCCCTCTTGCTACAGCATCAGCTTCCTGAACTTGGTCCCGTTTTCCTTGCTTTAAGGATAGCCTCTGAAGTTGCTGGAGGAGTTCCCTGCATTCATTATATACATTAGTAAGTTCATCCCAGACTTTATCCTGCAAATTAATCCCTTGGACCACCCTTTCACAGTCAGACAACAACAGACCCTCAGCAAACCCTATTGACCTAGCCCACTTTAGGGAGAACAGGACAACAAGTGCTTCCCCCCACACCGCAGAGGTGCAAGGGATGTGCATAGCCATACCCTCACACCACACCCCTTGGTAATCCCTACAAATGCATCCTATGCCAGCTGACATAGTTATAGAGGAAAAGGAGGCATCAGTCTTTAACAACAATTGGGGAGCTGCAAGGAAGGTAAAACTAGGCAGTCTAAATCTTGGGGATATAGACTTAGGCTGGGACATGATCAGGTTCTCATCTATCATCCAGGTGGTAGCTTTCCACCAAGACTCAGTGGGAATGTTCTCTTTATCAAATACCCATCTGTTCCTTCTTATCCAAACTCTCCAACAAATGACAGCAAAGCTGAAATTCCAAGGATTTCCCATAGGGTTATCAGTAGAACAGCTACTCAGATTGACACGGATCCATTCAAAAACAGAGACAGTTGATTGGGATAAGAGTGGGTGGGGCTCCCAGACTTCAGATGCTCTAGGGCAGTCTCTCAGGACATGCAAGATAGATTCCTCTACCCCTGGGCAAAGGGGGAAGGAGGCTGAGGGAATGATGTTCCTAGCAGCAAGATGGGAGGAAGTAGGGAGTCTTTCCCACAAGGTTAGCTAGAGGAACATTTTGACTTTGGGGAGTAAGTTGAGATCCCAAATAGTGGCCCACTTGCCATCCTCCTGCGAGTTAGGATGCTGGGATCTCCAGAGGGAGTTATAAGCAGATTTTGAATCAAAGAATCTCCCATGGACAAAGGAGCTGACAGGGAAATCAAACCCCCTGTTAGGAAAATAGGTAGCAGTGATCTGTTGGGAAATGTGAGGAGGCAAAGGAAAGGATAGATGTTAGAGGGACCATATCGAAGTTCCCATCTCTGGCCAGATGAAGAGTCATATCCAATTCATGGTGAAGGAGAGGGCCCTGGATCAAATTTCTAAGTGGACCAGGCCCTAGCCAGTTATCCTGCCAAAATTTGATCCTAGTCAAATTTTGGCAGGATAACTGGCTAGGGCCTGGTCCACTTAGAAATTTGATCCAGGGCCCTCTCCTTCACATTAGATAAATTTGTTCGTATTCTAAATGTGCTCAGCATAGTCGAATTAGCAAATAAATAATGCCTCATTTTACACATTAAGCATAATTATCAACAATAATTAGATGGGCAATCTGGTGATTGAATTATTCATGTATACTATTACACACAATGAATTCTTATTAAGAAACGGAAATAATTATTACGTACATGAAAAAAAATGATTTATAATTAAAATAAAAGGTTCACACGATATAAGAAGTTGACGGCAGGACTAAGGTAGCTGAAATACCATGCACGTAGTAGGATCGGAGTATTAGTTAGTGCCACCAAAAATTTTCTTCAACTTCTTCACCTGTATAGCATCCAACAAAGTCACCTTCTTAACTAATTCAGAAGGAAGGTCATTTGCACCTAGAGAAGGAGTAGTGATTTCGAAGCCTGGATTCGGGCTGTTTAAGGTTACAAACACAAGAGCAGGAATTTTTCCGACATTAACTTGGAAATGAAGTAATGTAGGTGGAATGATCATAATATCCCCCTTATGTAATGTTTTGTAGAATGGCGTGCCATTTGTGTCTATAAAACCAGCAACTATTGTTCCCTCGGATACAAGGATAAGTTCTGACACTCTGTGTGAATGAATTGGGACGGCTCCACCAACACCAAAGTCTAGACGTCCCATGGAAAGGCCTAGACCATTCAAGGCTGGGAATGTTACATCCAAAGCAAAAGAGGAATCAATATTAAAAAGCTCATTAAGTGTGTTAGTTATGTTACTTGGATCACGCAAACCAGAGAAAACAAAGTCATCTGCTGTAAGGCTAGCAGGATTTTTACAAGGGTATCCTGCTGGACCAACTGGATGATTTAAATCCGCAACACAATAATCAACAACTAATGTTGCATAAGAGAAAGGGGCAAGGAGAGCTAAGAGGAAGATAACTTTGAGAGCATCCATGTTTGAAGAAAGTTAGAGATATAAGATAGAATGGGAATGAATCTTATGAATGAAGATATGTTTTGGTTAATGTGTTAGTGTCTTTTACATTGTCCCTATATATAGAATGTACATGTACTAATACAATCTCGCAGAAATTTCATTGATCATAAAATTCTTAATGCATGTGATCATGGCTTACGTGGGAATAAAGATTAAAGTCCTAGTAACATCTTCTGATAACTTTATGAAATCATATATACATTATTTTCAAAGTTTAACCCCCGGATTTATTTACTTTCTTGCTTTTTCTTTAAAGGATAAACTAATTAGCGTAACGGAATTTTGAACGCAAAAGAAACTTCTATAAATTTACTCACGAAGTGTCTAATTTGGCAACAAGCTGCCGTAATAAATAAATTCTTTTGTCGAATGATATTTTGTAAAAAAATAAATAAAATAAAAATGGTGATATGGGGAAGACAAATCAAAACCTCGCTAAGGTTAACACGATCTGGTTTACCAAGTACTACTTGATAACCATCCTATCCGTCAAAAAAAAGAAAATAAAAATGATAACCATCCTAACCAATGTTTTTATTACTTTACTTGATTAGCTTCATTCTTAATTGATATTTACACAGCTAACACATGGTTTAATTAAGTTGTGTAGACCCACAAATCTTACAACAATTATAAGACTCATAAATGTTGGGGTAACAACATACTTCGTACATACGTGTGCTTATTTGGAGTAATAAAAGTCATAAAATGTACTCTCTCGGTTTCAATTTGTTAGTCCCATATACTATTTTGGGCGTTTTAAAAAAATTTACCCATATTTTATACATATTAAATTATGATTGGTTAAATTAATGATTGTGTATTGATGACTTGAGTCTAAGTAAAGAAATTATTCCCTTAAATTATGCAATTATAGTTGACGATTTTCTAAACAAAATCAAAAAAGTTTAAATAAGGCAAAACTATTTATGAATTGTTTTTGACTTTAATGTTAGATTCCAAATATTCTTCTTTTCTTATTTTATGTAATAGATTCCATATGGGACTATCATATTAAAACGGAGGGAGTATGTTTTTACGTAACTTCAGTAGCTTGATATGATAGATGTATTAAGAAATATATTCTTTAATTTATATAATACCATGAAAACAAATAAGAGAAAGACCTCTTAGAGCAATGGCCTACAGGTGTAAAGTTCAATTCTCATCAGGCACAAATTCCTTACAACAATCATTTTAAATATGACTATTATATTATGTTAATGGTAAATAATATGGTCGTAATTTATATTTTCACATAATAAAATAGGCACAATTAGTCTTTCAATAATTACAATGTAAATATAATTTTTTAAAATTTTGATCCAACATAAAATTAATATTTTTTGAGAAACCATTAAATAAGAATAAAAATTTTATAAATTTAAAAAATGTAGATAATACCTTTTTATATCAAAAATAAAGTAATATAATAAATAATTGGAAAAAAAATGTCAATTATGAACTAAATAATCATTATAACATTATGGTAGTCATATTTCAAACAACTATTATAAAATTTTCATAAATAGATAGATTCGTACTACTCATAAAGATAAGTCATACATATGATAATTTAACATATGCAAATACGGAGTAACAATAAATTATTATTATTATTATTATGGTAGTCATATGTATGATAGTTTTAAAAAAATATATTTAGTAACAATAAATTCAATTTATTAAAATTAAGTTTTCAGTAAAAATAATTTCAATGCGTAAAACTAATCTCAGTTTGGAAAAAGTTAGTAATTTTACGGAAAAAATATAATAGAGAATCAATATAACTAATGTTATTTCAACAAAAATAATTTCAATTCAATAAAACTAATTTCATTTAAGTTAAAATTAGTTAAGTTCATCAAAAATAAATTCAGTTCAGTAAAAATAAGTTTAGTTCGGCAAAAATAAGGTGAAGTGAGCATGGCCTAATTGGGTGATAGGAATTTTTTCATTTGTTGAGATTAAGTAATGTTAGAAGTAAGTTGTATTGGGCTTCGCCTAACTGAAGTAGGACTTTTTTTTTATTAGACAGTCTCTAGTTACATAGATGATATATTATGATATTACAAAATTAGGCTATGTTTAATCAACTTTTGTTAATTATTAGATTTGATTTGAACTTATTTTTTGAATCTTAAACTCTTTTTTTATTAGATCTAGATAACTTATTTAATTGCAAAGTTACCTAAATTTGATCTTATATGTACGCTAATTCAAAGGAAAAAAAATCAAATGGGGTTTTATTATATTCATATTAATGAATTTTCAAAATAGGTAATTTTCTTAATTTTTTCATTTCGAAATTAAAGATGTATATAACGATAAAAACTCGCATATAAAATGTTAAAGGAACTCAAACATAATTATTACAATTTTCGAACATACAATCTCAAGCTCTTTGGGTTTAAAAAAAAATTAATACAAAAACCCAAAGAAAAAAAAAGTACATGTTATTCAATTTTACAATGGCACTCGTGTTTGTTCATGTACACGGATAAACGGATAAACTTAATTTATAAATTTATTAAGTTTTTGAAAATAAAATATATTGCATATCATCTTTTATTACGTAGTTGTAAATTTTTATAAAATGCATATATCATCGCAACATAGCATTAATTAGTGCCACCAAAGATTGATTTCAACTTTCTCACTTGCTCAGCATCCAACAAAGTGATCTTTTGAATTATATCAGTAGGAAGATCATTTGCAGCTAGAGCAACTGTTGTGGTTTGGAAGCCAGGGTTGGCGCTGTTTAAGCTAACAAACGCAAGAGCAGGCGAATCACCAACGTTTACTTGGAAGTGAAGTAATGAATGTGGAAAGATCATAATATCCCCCTTATTCAATGTTTTGTAGTAAGCGGTGTTATCCGACCCTATAAATCCAGCAATTATTGTACCCTCGACTACAAGAATAACCTCTGATACCCTATGTGCATGAATTGGAATAACTCCTCCCACGCCAAAGTCTAATCTTGCCATCGAAAGGCCTAGACCATTTAGGGCAGGAAATGTAACATCAATTGCTAGGAATGCAGAAGCATTGACAATATTTGTTGTGTTACCTGGAACACTTAGACCAGAGAAAACAAAGTCATCCACAGTAACATTAGCGGGATTCTTACAAGGGAATCCCGCTGGCCCACCTGGATAATTGAAATCTGCTACACAAAAATCTACCACACTTGTGGTAGATGATGAGAGAGTAACATGTAGAAGAATGAAAAAGAAGATTATTTTATGAGCATCCATGTTCGGAACAATTTTGAAATGTTTGCTAGAATAAATTATTGTATTTCTAAATATGTTTTGTTTCATGTAGCTGTGATATTGTCTTTGTATTTATAACATTTGAAAGGTGGAATTATTCGCTAATCACTTGTTTTAATTAATATATAAATGAGTTAATGTCATATTCCTCGTCATCGTCATTGTGAAGGTGGATACTCGAAATTAATGTAAGCTGCCACATACAATCTTAGCTTGGATGAAAGTAATGGTAGAGTAACAAAGCCAGACTATTACGAAAATTAATTTAATTTTGGGGTTGATCTAAAAAATATTTTAAAAAAAATAATTTTTGACTAATGACATTGAAATGGTTTGATTAATCCAACAAAAAATGAAGGGAAATAGGCCTAGAATCATTTTATATATTGTAAATCCATAAAATTATATTTTTTAACCAAGGAAATATTTTCATAAAATTAAAAAGTGGATGAAGATAACAAAATTACTTAATTTGTCCTCTTTTTTTTTTTTTTTTATGGTTCACTTCAACCGTTGCAATAGCTGGTGATGGACATGGTCTTCAAAGTTATCAAAAGTAATATAAAAGGTTGTTGATAAAATTGCTAATTTTATACGAGTTTACCTATTCCTAGTGTATACTCTCTAGTGAATGATTTGAATGGTTAAATGAAAGTGATATTTGTTCTTTTCATAAAAAAAGGTGATATTTATTCTACATAATCTAAGCTTTTTCAACTGGATTAGGTGTAGAACCACAAGAATTTACTGTGTTCAAACTTTGAATTTTCATACGGCTTAGCTTTGCTATTCAAACGTCTCAAATTTCAAATATATTAATATTTAACATTATGTTGAGTACGGAGTATAATTGAATTGTCACACCAACGAATAATATCTAATTTGTAGAATATCATTATAATTATTATTATATACTTCGTATTTCATTTTCAGAAGAATAGTATTATAAATATTGTTATATACTTCGTATATGCTTTTAAAAATATTATGAAAAATTACTTTTAAAAAATGGCTAATAACTAGAATGTTAATTTACTGATCTGATGACTATGATCTATGAAGATATTACTCTTGACATACAATACTACTTACATATTTCAATTAGACTCGTGTCCGTTTTATCAAACAAAATCTCTGAAATCCCAACTATTGATGAACCTAAAACAATCTTAACTATTGGGTAGTCTTTTAAAAACTAAAAATTCTACAATGTCATTCTTTAAAAATGACATCACAATTTGCCGATGTGACGAAATCTGATTGGCCTGTATTTAGTATATTATTATCATTTTGAATTATTTTTAATGTCTATAATGTATTAAAATTTTATTTTTGTATATATTCTTTTTAATACATGTATTTTTTTAAAAAATACATAATTATAAATTATGAAAGTCGATTTTTATAATATTAATTAATTTTCGAATTTATAATTATAATAAAAAATAAAAAAATTTAAAATTGTTCATCATTGTTCATATTGTTCATCAATCAGCTGGTCATAGATTAGCTCCCCATTCCCAAAATCAATGTTAGCTGTAGATAAATTTGTAAATCTGAACTAAAATCGAGATAAAAATTCGAAAACAAAATGTATATTTGCCTTTTGCTTTTTGCAAAGTTTTATTTTAGGTTTTTATTCATAGAAAAATCTCAGCAACAACCTCATTTATAAGAATTGAAAAAGACGAATTCCGCTTTGAATGGTTTGAAAATATGGTTTATGTGAACTCAAATTGTGCATTTTTGTCAAAGAACAAGGAGTATCAAGTGTCTAGAAAATGAAGTGGTCACATTTTTTTTTTGTTCGCAACCTCTATTTGATCTGATAAATATAATTAAGTTTTCACGAACTTGTTTGTGGGTTAGGGACGTAATGACCTAAATAAATACAGGTAAATCACCTAATAGTACATGTAATTACCTAACCACAAACAAATTAAAAAAAAACGCAAATCTCGATTCTGGATCAAACAAATTTGTGAAAACATATTTTTTACTCTAAATTGCAGAGTACACCCTTGTTATCCATTGATAAGATCTTCATAAAAATTGAAATCTCCGTGCTTTAAATCATCATAATTCACGCTCCTAATGCTATTTTCATCCTCAAACTTTCAAACAACTTGATTTTTACATAAATCAAAATTATCAATCGAACCCTAAAACGAAATTTGTATATGTTTCATGGAAGCAGATTCGAAACCCAATATATTCTATGTTTGGACGGAATTTTTTTGTCTAAGTTGCGAATAGATTATACAAGATTTTGGGGTGGTTAATTTAGATCATGAATGAAGAACAATCATGAAAAATGATGCTTTTTTATTTTCTAAGTTCTAATTATAATTTAATTATCGAAAATGATTTTAGAAAGTTAAAAATAGATTTTGAAAAAATTTAATTACGTATTCTTTTAAAAAATACATATATTTACAATTATACATACATGTATAGTACATTTAGGCTTCTAAAAATAAATCAAAAATTGACCCATCATAATAAGATACATCATCATATTATGGTGTCATTTTTTGTCATTTTTTGAAAAATGACAAGTAGAAACATCGTTTTCAAACAGGGAACCTTACTAAGTATTTCCTCCGTTTTTTTTAAATGCATCACATAATTTGATTTCTGCACTATTCACATATCATGGTTGACTTAATTTTTTTACCTCTATAAAATAAATAAATGTTATTATATACTCCGTAATGTATCATTAGGCTCGTCATAATGTCTAGTTTCAAAATATAATTTTGTTAACTTTTACTAAATAAAATTAATAATATTAATAGTCAAAGTTGCATCTCGACAAATGTGTTGATCCACTGATGCAAATAAAAAAATAGAGTAATTTATAAATCTTAGAGCATGTAATTTTCTTATTAACTTTCAGCTCTGAATAATCAATGGGCCAATCTTGTTATTTAAATGTACTTGTAATTGTCAAAAACAAATTGATATATATATATATATATATATATATATACACTTGTACATTGAACTTTGTGTCAAGAGATGTAGAGTTTAAGGAGCATATATTTCCTTTTAAGCAAAGTTCAGAAGAGTTTAACAAGCTTCCTCACTGTATACAAATGTTGCCACAACTGCACTGTGAAGAAGATGTAGATCACAATGCAGGGACTCCGATTCCAACTATTCTTGAAGAAGCATTTGGATGAGGCATTCACAATCAAGGATCTGGGAAAGATGGGAGATTTTCTTGGTATGGAATTTGCAAGAGGAAACAAAGGGAGTGAAACTTTCAACTGATCAAGGTGAAGTTTTGGTACCAGTAGTCCCATTCCTTGAGAGCAGGTAACTTGAGATTTTAGGCCACAAAGTGGTGGCCTAGCTTCTTCCCCTGCTTTGTAGCTTTCCATTAGCTACCCCTATGCTTTATTGTGAACTAGCTTTCTAGCTTAGAAAAGAGGATATACTGCTTTGGACCCTCATATGGCCAGTCACCCACGAGGGTGGTTTCTCGTTCGAAATTGACTAGTTCAAATGGTTCATCCAGGTAAACTCGTCAATTGGTCTTTGACCTCTCCCATGTTGTTGATTGGTATACCCTTCGTTTAGGAAATAACGTATATAAGTCAAGCACTATCTTCATTCTATCTTTTAGTCTAGTTGGTAGCAATCTAAGGATTCGAAGCTCTCCAAAGGTAATCAGTATATCCTGATTCCCGCTACGCACCTTGCTTTCGATTAGGGGTCCCTGCCCTCCATTCTCTCAAGTACTTCCCCGCTTCCTCTGCTTGCTTTCATGTAGTTTATTGTGGCTAGACTGGATTTCTTCTTGTCTTTACTTTTTTTTTCTATTCGTTGAGGTACTTTTCACTCTTTTGAGGATGTAACAAGTCCTTCTTTCCACTCCGCTAGCAGTCCATGTCTAACAGTCTTCGAAGCCGTATCAGGGCCAATTCCCTTTCTTTGAGATTAAGACTCGGGTGAGAGGGAAGGAATTAGGTTGCAGGGGAGCCCCATTCGCGATCGTCTTTGTAGGAGAAGCCCTTGATCAATTCTCCGATTACCTTACCTGCTGCCCTGGGACACATTCCTTCGACCGTGGTAGAAAGGTAAAGAGATATGAGAGTGAGGCTAGATTTTGGCATCCCCTAAGCCCTAAGAGAATGGATGTGCTTAGACGACTCTTGGAACTCGTCTTTACGCCCTTCGTTCAAAATTCCGATTAAAAAAAAGACTTAAGAGCAAAGTTCGAAAGAAAGAAGGAGAGAGAATCTTACCCTCCCACAGACTAGCTCCATGCTCAGCTAAGCTCGCAACAAATGAAATAAAAAGAGTGAAATCATATATTATATGATTGCCGGCGGTCCATCGTGCTTGCGGGTTCGGTTGTGCTTCTAGAAAGTTAATCACTTCGTTGACACACGTAAAGCTTTGCAGCCCTCCCTGCGGTTTCCAGTTTAGTTTGTCTACTTCCCTTCCAAACGACGATGAGGCTAAGCGAACAAAGTCTAACCTTAAGAGGGGGATATATATATATATATATATATATATATATATATATATATATATATATATATATATATATATATATATATGTATGTATGTATATATATATGTATGTATATATATATATACATACACATATATATATATATACATATACATACATATATATATACATATATACTTGTACATTGAACTATTGCAAGTTTGTGACTAGATTCTTCGGATTCTATCTTTTTTTTTTTGTTAGAAAACCGAACTAAATTAGATAAGAATCATAAAAGTTAATGGCCACCGCCAACTTACAAAAGCAACCCCCATAGCTAGGGCGGTTGATACAGAAGTGGGAGCATCTCCCCTACAGTTAGTTGTCCCGAGTTTAACAAGTTTGGACCAAAATGAAACTTAGAACAGTTACAAGTGTGCAAGCTAGCCTGTACAGGCTCCTGAATAATTACAAAATGTTCTAAGATAGAATCCTGATTACATAAATTAGTAGAAGT